AAAAAAAAAAAGGATTTATACTTTAAAAGCTACCAGTCATCTGCGGATTGAATAGATTCTCATCCATGGCTTTTAGTATTTTCAGAAATGACTTATCTCATAATTTTGTGCTTCATTCATTGAGTAGCATAGTCTCTTACAACACTAAGCTAATTTAAATTCTGAGTAAGCTAAATACATCAACATTTTGTATTTGGTTATAATACTGTCATTTTATCCAGGCTAAAATCAAAGTAACAGGGACAAGAAAGTATAAAGAAACTCAACCTACTGAGTGTTGGTCAGCAGGATAAGACCCTGAGGCTTGATCATGGTTAAGATCATACTTTGACTAAGGTTTCTGAATTGCTAATTCAATACCTTGTTGGATCTACAGATAGAAAATTTAACATGAAGGGAAGGAGAGTATTGTTATGAGTGACAAGATCTCTCCAAAAACTGCACTGTACCTTGGTTTTTCATCTGTAAATCTTCTACCAGGGTTTGCAAGCTTTCCAGTCTGTTTTGAAGTTTCCTGCATGTTTTTCCTGTTGTTTCTACTGGCGGAGACTGTGAATCTATTAGAAAATTGCTTAGCTGTGATATAAAAAGTCTAATCACTACTTCTTTTTTGGAAATAATTCAATTGAATTACATGTTAAACAATTTTCCATTCATTTACTTAGAAAGGCTCTTTTTTTTTTTGGGGGGGGTCCGGTCGTGAGGCCTGAACTCTGGGCCTGGGCGCTGTCCCTCAGCTCTTCAGCTCAAGGCTAGCGCACTACCACTTGAGCCACAGCGCCTCTTCCGGCTTTTTCTCTTATGTGGTGCTAGGGAATCGAACCCAGGGCCTCATGCATGCAAGGCAAGCGCTCTACCACTGAGCCACCTTCCCAGCCCTAGAAAGACTCTTTCTATGTAGTCCAGGCTGGCCTCAAATTTACTATCCTCCTGTCATAGCCTTCTGAATGATGTAACTTTTCCTTTAAAATAAAGAAAACTTAGCCAGGTGCCAGTGGCACATGCCTGTAATCCTAGCTATTAAGGAGGCTGAGATCTGAGGTTCAAAGCCAGCCCAGGCAGGAAAGTCCATGAGACTCTTATCTCCAATTAACCACCAGAATTAACCACCAGAAAACCAGAAGTGGTGCTGTGGCTCATGTGGTAGAGTGTTCGCTTTGAGCTGAAGAGCTCATGGACAGCGCCCAGACCCAGAGTTGAAGTCCCATGACTGACAAACAAACAAAAAAAAGAAAGAAAAAAAAAGAAAAAAGTCTTTTCAGTTTAAAAGTTTCCTGTTTAATACCTGATTTTATTTAATATTGAATCATTGCAATGCTAGCTTATTTTATTTTGTTTCAAACCAATACAACTTTGTATTATTTAACAACATCGTATTAAATGAGATGAATGAGAATACTTCAAGTTTAATTGAAACATTCTCTATTGGTCAACTTTTTTATAGCAGACTTAAGTAGTTCCATTAGCCTAAGGTCTGAGGGAGAAGAATCTAATTCAGATACTGGCACCATTATTAAATGTGTGAGGCCACTGCCCATGCCCTAGTTGCTGGCACCTGAATGAGGAACAGCATTGTATCAGACAGCTGAACAGGTGCTGACATGCCTTGGTAAACCTACTGCAAATGTGAAGAGCCTAGACACATGAAGGTTATTCTCCAGTAAGTATGTTAGCTTCTCAATTTCTAAAAATACTTGCTTGACAAGCTTTAAATTTCAATTTTGATCTTAGCCTCTGACTAACTAAATAATCTTGACAATGTTTTTCTGGTGGCTCATTTTCCTATCCCAAATCATCTATTCAGTATTAAAGATAATAATAAAGAAATTATTTTGTTTTATTTGGCAGTCCTGGGGCTTGACTCAGGGCCTGGGCACTGTTCCTGAGCTTCTTTTGTTCAGGGCTAGCACTCTACTACTTGAGCCACAGCGTTACTTCCAGCTTTTTCTGTTCATCTGGTACTGAGGAATTGAACACAGTGCTTCATGAATGCTAGGCAAGCACTCTACCACTAAGCCACATTCCCAGCCCAAGAAATTATTTTAACTCAAGAGAATAAGACATAATTTTTTTTTTGTCTGTTGTAGGGCCTGAACTCTAGGCCTGGGTGCTGTCCTTCAGCTCTTGAGCTCAATGCTAGCGCTCTACCACTTAAGCTACAGCACCATTTCTGGCTTTTTCTACTTATGTGGTGCTGAGGGCCTCATATATACAAGGCAAGCACTCTATCACTGAGCCACCTTCCCAGTCCCAAGACATAATTTTTTAGAGATAGTCTTAGCATGAAAAGCATATAACATATGAAGACTGATAGGGATTTGACCATAGGAGGAAAAGTAACAATGCCATGGCTATTATGTAAGTAGGTAAATAAGGTGACAAGCAACATTGTCTATTCTTGCAGTGATTATTACACTAATAGGCAAATCATTCCACTCTTTACATAGTTAAAAATATTAAAGAAGGGCTGGGAAGGTGGCTCAGTGGTAGAATGCTTGCCTTGCATGCATGAGGCCCTGGGTTCCATTCCTCAGCACCACATAAGCTAAAAAAACCAGAAGTGGCACTGTGGCTCAAGTGGTAGAGTATTAGCCTTGAGCTGAAGAGCTGAGGGACTACACCCAGACCCAGAGTTCAGGCTTCATGACCGACACAAAAAAAAGTACTTTAGGAGTATAAGAGATAATTGAAGACATAGTTGTCAAAAAATAATAAATAAGAAAATGTACTTACAATGTGATTCTGATTTTCATATATTTGGGGGATCTAGAATTCTGTATGACATAGAATTGCAAAGGTATAATAACTGACTTGACAATGATGTGACAACTGTCTGGTTTATCCCTTGCCAATAGGAATGATGGCATAGAGCACTTGGGCTGGTTTGGTCACTGTCATACATGCTAAGAAGATGTCAAGGCCAACTTAATGATCTATTTATCAGGCACAGATCCAAATCAATTTATCTTTTCCATCTGCACATAACAAATAAACAATGTTGTGTGTGTGTGCCAGTAGTGAGGCTTGAACTCAGGGCCTGGACATTATCCCTTAGCTTTTTTGCTCAAGGCTGGTGCTCCAATTGAATCACAAAAAGCCATTTCTGGCTTTTTTGGTGGTTAATCGGAGATAAGAATCTCGTGGGCCTTTATTGCCCAAGCTAGTTTTGAACCAGTATCTTCAGGTCTCAGCCTCCTGAGTAAGATTATAGGTGTGAGCCACCATTTCCCAAATTGAGCTTAAAATTTTTAAAATAAGAACATTTTGATAAGTTTATAGACATTTGCACTTACAAGGGCAGAAATGGAAGTACAGCCATGATTCACAAAGGTAAATATAGCATTCAAGATCTAAACTCTTACAATAAAATAAGAGTATGAAAATAGTTCATTATTTATGTCAAAGAAAAATAACATTTACATATAACACCTATATTGTTACTGAGTCTCATATGTATGTATACAATAGCTGTTTTATTGTAATAAGACTATAAAAATTACATGTCCTCAATTACACCTCATACATAAGAACTTCAAACAGAGCTGGTGTGGTGACACATACCTATAATGCCAGCATTCAAGAGGCCGAGGCAGAAGGATGTTGAGAAGGAGGCAAGGCTGAGCTACATAGTGAGAACCTACCTGCCTCAGAAAATCAACATCCAAGTTAACCAAAGAACTGCATGTTAACATTATTAATCTGAATACAGAAAGGAGACTGTAGTTCATCAGAAAAAGAAATCAACCCCATCAACAATATCAGATCATTCTAACCTTTAACAGAATCAGGTGAATGAATAGGCTTAGTAGATCTATACTGTGATGTGGATCCAACTGAATCTTCAGCTGAACTCGTCAGGAGTGAGTGTACTGGAGACTTCTTAGGAGAAGTGAAGGAACGAGTAGCTGAGTTTTTTACAGATGGAGTTACTAGAACAAAGGTAAAAACAGTTAATTAGAAATAATATACTGCATCTCTCAAAAACTCAAACTTTTATGAGAAAATGAGTCCAATGATGGGGCTGGGAAGAGAGAGGAATATAGTGGCAAATACCAAAGGTTTCAAATTTGAAGTAATGGGTATGCCCTATGTGATGGTTAAACTCCGTGAGCACCTTGACAGGGCTGAGAGATGGCAAGAAAAGTGATAGCCCAGCCAGGAAAATTGTGAGATTCTTATCTCCACTAAACTACAAAAAAGCCAGAAGTGGAGCTGTGGCTCAAATTGATAGAGTACTAGTCTTGAGCAAAAGAAGTTCAGGGACAGTGCCCCAGGCCCTGAGTTCAATCCTCAAGACCAGCACGTGCATGCACGCACGCATACAAACACACATATGCTCTCAAGAAGAAGGAAAAAAAGAAAGAAAGAAGGCAAACAAAAGACAAGCAATCTAAAAGCTAACTGATGGGAAAATAAGGCATTTTGCATTTAAATTTATACTGATTTATTAGTAGAAACAATGGAAGCCAAAAATGGAATGATCCATTCAAAGTGAAGGAAAACAATGTCACCTAAATTCTATATTTAGCAAAAATGTTCCTCTAAAATGATGATGAAATTGACGTAAGTTCAGACACTAGAAACATTTATCACCAGTAAACATGAAAAGCACAAGTAAAATGGTTCTAGATGAAAGTGAACTGCAATGGTACGGGTATAGCTAAATAAATATTAACTGTACAAAACACCACCTGATCCACTCTGATGTTTAGTTTCATAATTTTCCCAATTATTTTTACAATAAAACTATATAATGATTATTATGCCACAGCTGGAAAGGGTAGTGAATGGAATTAATGAGTTAAACAGTAACATTCACAATACATGAAAAAAGGTAAATGTACTCATTTATATTAATGTAATAAAGCAGGGATAGTTATTAATCAATTTTCTTGGGTCATCATTAAGATATATAAGACATATAGGATACATGTAATTGATATAAACTGGAAGAAATTAACTATGTAAGTGCACTTTTTCAAAGTACCAAAATTAGTGCCAGAAATGATTAAAATTTAAGAATTTGCATTTATTTTACTTAAAAATTTTATGTTTTGATTTTACTTATATATCTACACTTTTATAAGAGAAAAAAATGGGAAACATTTTCTCCTACCTCTTTTACAATTTACCTCAATTTCTCTATTTACATTATTAGTTTCCAGATATGTAACTGAATAATCATCATTTTTTTTTGTTGTGAGAATACTGTACAGACGAGTTACAATTACATGGGCAAGGTAACGAGTACATTTCTTATCAAGCATTGTTGCCTCCTTTGTTTCCCCTTACTATCCCTTCCCATACCCCCCCTTCCCCCACTTGATCCTCCCCCCACCCCCCACCAAAGTTGTAAAGTTCGTTTTTCAACATAACGACTTGTACATCTCATTGTTGCAATGGGTCCACCTGTATCCCTATTTAAACGATTTGTTTTTTCCCTTCC